AATAAATTTTATCAATATTTTCAGTAACAGATATCGAAAAACGTGTGGAAAACTTCTATCAAACGTTGGAAAACCACTATTGTTAAAAATAACGAACAACCTTCGCTGAATGCACGTTTGGTTTTTGGTTGATTGATCTTTCGCGATTCTTGTGTACATTTTTATCTTTGGAATCTGTTTCCACTATGAGATAAAATTGGAAGATTTTTTCTATGTACAACACTTTTTATAGCACATGTCAAAACAGAATTAATCGACAATATTTTGCAAATAATTATGAAATATCGTATAATAAATTTTTTGTGTGTTGTTTTAAATATTTCGGGTTGGTATGGGTATATAAAAATACTAATGAGGCCAACGTATGGGTATAGAGTACATAGTTAAAAGTATAATTAAATGTAATAAATAAATAAAACTATATAACTACAGAGTGTATTTCTCTGTACTTTTTTTAGAATACCAAGTGACAGGACGAAGATGTCGTGCGCCAGGTGGTAAGCGACACGCCTAACCACAGCAGTTGCAATGCCAGAGCTTTAAATAGCAAAGATCTTAGAGGACTGCGGATTGAGGCAGCACTGCCACTGCGCCCGTCATCCTGAGATATAAGTCGACAAGTCCCAGGTAACTGTAATTTCACCAGCACCCTTACCCTTCAAAACCGGTAATTACAGTCTCATTACTGCTTGGCGGTGGCAAGGTGGCAGTACTTCCATGGACAAACTCTTTTACAAGGTGCTCTACTGCTATTTTACTCGTACACCCATCTCGATTTATTATTTATTTAGATTTCTCCTTCTTTATTGCATAAATGTATTTATTTATCACGGATAGTACAAATAAATGTATCTTGTGCAAACATTGATCCCGTTAGAGTGTTGACCTTGGTCCACGTAAATACAAATTATACCTCCCTAATGCCTCCCTACATCCCATTTATTTTTATTTACTACAGGGCTGTACTCGTTACATACACAATATTTTTTTAACTGAGGTAGTACTGGGAAACCCGAAACTATAGCAGATACAGAGCAACTGTCTTAGGAAACATTTGTGACAACAATTTTGTCATATCGAAAAATCTACATTACGTAAAATTGTTCTTTTTTTTAAAAATAAACTAACGTTTCGGACCATTAAGGACGCGTTCCCATTATGTTGTGCTGACAGATAGTCTTGCAGTTTAAAGTGTCGTGTCTTGTATATTTAAATGAAGTTGTTGACATATTGTACAACACGATTAACTGTCGTTCACGACTTTTTTGACGTTACAACGCCAGACTGTCGTGACAATTGAAAGAGCTAGAACGACAGTCGTTCGACAGTAATAACACGTTACGAGAAAAATGTGACGATGAAAAATCGTAGCTTCAAACGATTCTGATTTGGCTGCCGAGAACCGATAAATTCTCGTCATGATCTGGCGGGAACAGCCAGACACGACAGTCGTTCAACGATAAAATAAAAACGTCCACGACACAGTCACGACAGATAGTTGTGATACGGGAACTGACTAGACGCGACAGTCGTCCAAGGATAAATAAAACGTTACGACATAGTATGAACGTGCCCTTACAGTTTTGTTAACAAGTTTAGATCCGAAAAAACAATTTTAATTTCCTGTAAACAATAACCTATATAATACTTATTAAACTAAGATTGGGAAATAAATGATTTTTGCCTTAGATTTTGACCTTTTTTTTTTGACGGGGGGGAATCTTTATGGATACCCCTGAGGCCAGGGAGACTCAGGGGTTATGTGGGGACTCTCCCTCCAGACTGGAGGGCCTACCCCACTAAAACTCCCCCAGGTTTCTCTCTCGCCGGTTGAGTCGGCGACGTGGGATCGGTGAACACTCACCACGACGCCTTAGATTTTGACCTAGACAATTCACACAGAAATTTAATTACCTGCAGGCTTAAATAGGCGCTAGTATCACCAACTACCTAGGTGTTTACATACCGATCTACTGAAGCGGATATCAATTCAATGTGTTCGGGTATGTGGTAATGAGCTTTAGGGACATTACTGGCACACCGATCGATTGACCAAATATGCTGATATAATGATGACCCGAGCTCAGTCGATCGAACGCTTGATAACGTACATACATGAGTTGAACGGAACGTGTAGATAAAGCCTGTATGTCGGAAGCTATAGACTCAATTGTAATGTGTAGTATTGGGCTATTACACTTCGTGCGGTGACATGGTATAAACAGAAAACTTTTTCATCACTCTTGTTTGTAATTGGTATGATTGCATGGTGGCTAACTTGACTACAAGGGGTTTTTTTTCCATTACAACCATGGTCGGTAAGGAGTTTTTTAATTTGTACCACGACATTCTTCTTTACATAGGTCAGGTTCAAGTACAAGCAAGGAGGTTAATTAAAATTCAAAATTAAAGTATTCCCTTAAAAAGTGTTGTAATGTGATATTTAATTGCAACACAGCCATATATATACTTCTTAAATACTGATTATTAATAATAGTAATAACGCACACGCTCAACATAGCGCACTAGGGAAACCCTGTGTCGTGGGTGTCATGGACACACACATAGGTAGACAACCACAACTTACACCCAAACTCGCGCGAGAAATAAATATAAAATATCAAGAATTTATTATAATTGATTTTATTTATTTTCTGTATAAAAAAATTTGCAATTTTTTATGGCTGTATACGTGTTTGCTTTTTACAACATTTTGGTTCGAGTTTTATTATCTATGGAAGAATTAAAAAAAAACTCGTAATTTGCCAAATTCATAATTGTTGTGTTATGACTCATGTTTATATTATATTTATTTCCTCGCAAATGAGATGAAAAATATTGTACGAACCACGGACAGTAAAAAAAACAAAACTCGTGTTATTAAATATCTAATAATAATTTCCTATTTAATGTCTTTAATACACAATGTACTATTTCATCACACTTGCTAGTAAATAGTGTCATGACATGCAGGCAAAGTCGGCTGTAATGTCCTAAATTATGCCCACGGGCTTTTTCTTTACATTATCGCTTTATGGATTTTTTACGCCAAGATTAAGCAAAAAGTTTTATGCTCGAAAAATCTGAACGCATATTTCGCTTAAATTTCTAGTATAAAAAAACTAAACTTTGCAATTTATAAAATTTTTATTGAATTGATATTCAATTATTTTTTATGAAATTACTCCACTAGTTTGTTATAATTATTAATACAAAGATCGAACACTCGGAAAAAATTCGATCCGGCCGGATTCAAAGCGACGTCTTCTAGCTTACCGTGACACACGCTATACGAACTAAGCCACTGAACGAACCAGCGGACCTCACGAATTTTTATAGAATGTGTTCTATATGTTCTAAATCTTTGTATGAATAATTATTTGCAATTGAACTAAGTTTTACTAAATTTATTTTATGAATTCAAATTCTGCGGTATTTTTAAAATTTGAAATTTATTTATTTATCTATATTTCTATCATATTATGACCACATTCGTCTGTGCCGTTAAAAAAACAAAAAAGTCGCCATTTGCAAAGTCCGTAAATGTTGTGTTGTGCAGCGATATTTAAGCATACAAGAAATAAATTATCGTTGTATTTATTTCCTTGCAAATGAAAAACATTCTATGTAGCACGGACGGTAATCATTACAAAACTCGTCTCATTAAAGCCTTCAGCCTTCGGCTTCGGGCTTCTCACAAACACTCGTTGGTAATTTCTTATTTACTGCCCCTAATACATAATGTACTATAAAAAGAATTAATATCAGTTGGGAGTGATAGCCCCGGTGTGTGTTTGTTACATCTTTGAATCAATAGTAACAACAGCAAACTTGTGGAGCATTTTCCCTATCGGTCCTTCCTGGAATCGAACCCGGGACCACTCCACAGTTGGGCCACTGAGGTCGTCAAAGTGTATTAAAAGTATATATATGCAAAGTTAAAGTCAAAGTTAAGTAATTTCAATTTCAAGTGTAAATTGTTATACTTGAAATTGTCATACTGACTAAACTCTACTTATTCAACTCTGCTCATTCGTAAGGTAGATTCCCCTGAGAAGAATGAGCAAGAAATTCTAGGGGTTACTCTTTGTAAATATACATTTGAATACATTTATCATTACAAAATTTAATTTAAACATCTGAGATCGAGACTACCTGCAAGAGCTAAACCGGTCACTACCAGGGATTTTTGTCATCCAAGTACGCAGAAGCTGTATAATAAATAACCTTTACTATAAAGTTTTTCTTTCACGATAGTTTTAAAACTCGTAAGTGGCAAATATTGAATATCAATCTGAATCTTATTATAGAAGCGTATACATACTTTGTCAAGAGAACTGTCAAGAACAGCTAGTCTATTTTCATAAAAAAATTAATATTTTTCTTAACATAAATAACATTTTCATAAATGTACTGTGACGTTAGTGTAAGAATGTTAATCTCTTTTGCATGTAAACACTTTATTATACCACAAAGTAAATTATAACAAACAAAGTACTGAACAATGAGTTAGATAACTGAACTCTTCTTTTATACATTTCTTGGGTATTCAGACGTCTAGATTTAGTCTATGCCTGTGTCGTATTAATGTAAAGCGTTTATAGATTCATTAAAATAATTTACTTGCATACTTGAATGCACATTGAGTTTACATTAAAAGAAATGGCATTTTAAAGTGTAAGTAGGTTTTTGAAAAATGAAGGTATGGTCAACATAAACATTTTAATTATAGATTATAAGAGTAGGTTATATTGCATATATCTACAATTCGTCCGTTAACTGCCGTATTTGACATTTTTCTTATGAGTAAAGGCGACCTCTCACGGTTTGTGATACCAATTTCCTCGCATGCACGCCGACCACATAATTAACTATTAACGAATCGTGGGCGGCCGTCTTAATAGGTACAATCTTAAATTTTCAAAGTAATTATTCTCCAATAATAGTTGATCCTTTTTTTAAATATAACACAACCCACGACTAGAACGATTTTGTCACGAGATTACGGTTGAAGACGATAAGTTCTAAACCGAAAATTGAGGTCCTGAAGGACGATTTACAAATTTATGTATTTATGTTATATTATGTTATTGTATCAAGTTGGTCTTAGTTGAAATATACCAGCCTACAATTATCATCACCACTGCTAAGACGAATGGAAGCCATGTCTTCACAAATGCCCAACAACTGAAAAGAAGCAGAACATTATCAGTTCTTTGAAAAAAATAATTTGTACATAAATATTTGAATTACTGAAAAGTCGAGAGAAAATTACGAATTTTTGCATTTTCTAAATTTCTTAATTCTATGTTATATTGTCTATGGTCATTTAAAAAATATTATTTTAGCGCGCATTTATAAATAGGCGGGAATTTTTTAATTTTATAAGTCATGAAAAACGGCTAGAACTGGTTAATCGTAAAGTGTCTTAGATCGACATGGCCACATTTTTTTACAAATCCGTCAAAAAGATTGCAGTTAATTTAAGACGTATTACATCATCCACCGTAATCTCCCGACATAGACATTGTTTCGGTCTTCACAAAGTTCTTTGGATGGACACGACTTCGATAACTAAGAGACCGTTAAACGACACCTAAAAGTCTTTACAACCTGAAATGGCTTTGGTTTCGCATAACAGTGAAGGTGTTGAATCCATCACATTGGAAATAAAAATATAGTAAAATTGACGATATATACTGATTATACAGTGTAAAAACGATTTCTTAAAATTCTCACGATACCTATTTTTTTTTTACAATACTATGTGACGGGACGAACGAGGTGTGCGCCTGGTGATAGGCGACACGCCTATCCATAACAGCCGCAGTGCCACTCAGAGCAAATATCTTAGGGGAACTCTTACTGCGCCCGTTACCCTGAGACGTAAGCTGACAAGTTCCATTTGTTTGTAATTTCGGCAGCGCCCTTAACCCTTTTAAACCGGAACGCAGTTTACATTACTGCTTGGCGGCAGAAATAGGTAAGGTGGCAGTACTTCACTGGACGAACTGTTTGGGGCTCTTTCTGCTACTAAAAGAATATTTCGCCCTTTATGTCGCTCTGGCCAAGTTGCGCCCTGGCATGCTAACCCTACTGAGATTCTTCGTCCTATACTCCCGAAAATAAGATTCAGATCTTTCTTTGTCATAAGTAAGTAATTGATCCAACAACTCACCTGACATATTTAGAATATGGGATCATGAAGAATGCTAACTTTACCATGTTCCAGTTATTTGAGTTATCATATTTCATTATATTCAGGGCAGTCGCCACGTGCGAGTGGCAGTTGTCGCAACATATGTTGTGCTGAAAAAAAAAATTAAAGAAAAAACATTGAACCAATACATAGATTTCTCACATATGACGCTACGGTAAAAAAAGTCGTTAAAATACCAAAACAACAGTCTGCAACAAGCACATAGAAAAATTCGTAATGTAGCTGGTTCGGGTCGTGGCTTAGTTGGCATAGCGTCTGGCGCGAGTGTTCGATCTTTGTACGAGTATTAAGAGGGAGCAGAGGAAAAATTCCTAATCTTCGATTTGATTTTAGAGGGGTATATCCACTTTAAAGTTAGAAATAAAATATTGTATGAGTAACTACACGATATATTCAAGCATAGAAATTAATCAGAAACATAAAACAATAAAGTTTCCTCGATAGATAAAAATCACGAAATGACGTCTAATTTTCACATTTTTTCGATTTATCCTCGAAATGTTACAGGTTATTAGGACAAAAATTAGATAATTAATTATATTTATGCATGATCGACAACTGTCACTACGGATTTTTTTTAATCCCTTTACTTTTAGAGTTATTCCGCTAAAACGAATTTGGTACTTTTAATGCGCAAAATTCAACATCTCCTGTCGCATGTCACGTGAACTTCAGGCATATATTTGTTTCACAAATTTGGGCTGAGCCTACGTCAAAACTTTTTTGGCATGCTCCCTCTTAATAATTATAACAAACTATTGGAGTAATTTCACAAAAAAATAATTGAACATCGTGTTGGTGAAACATTTTAACATTCAATAAAAACACATAATTACAGTGAATATCGACATCGATTCGAACGGTAATAGCTGTAAAGGTGCCTAACTGGGTGACGCAATACTTTCATAGTTTTCTCATAGATGGCGCTACGGCTAAAATTTCGTTCCGTAGCTTAATTCGCATAGCGTCTGGCACAGTTAGTTAGAAGACGTTGTTTCGAGTCCAACCAGATCAAAGGAATTTTTTCTAGGTGTTTCTTTCTTGTATTAATAATTATAACAATTACTCTAATAATTTGTTTTAATTAATTATACAAAGATCGAACACAAAAAAAAATCCTTCGACCCAACTAAGGTACAGTTAATAAGTAATTGTAATTCTTCTGTGTGTGTTATAGAATCTTAGTACTGGATTTTGTCGGCTTTCAACGCCGTTAGCGACATCTTGTGAGAGATATATGAACCTTTTCATTCAGTCTATCTTTACAAAAGTCTTGTTTTTAAGATAAAAAACATAATAAGGTCACGATCTGTACGAAAACAACTCGTCAAAGCCAATTTAACCCTAGAGATTAGTTCATCTGTTTAGTAGTTACGACGCCACACAGACATATAGATAGATGTCTATCTATAAACACAGATACACACCAAGAGGCTTGAAACTTCTAACTCCTCTCTTTTTAAGCCGGGGGGGCTAAATGATTTTTTATTTATCGTAGAAATGTGCGATGACATCTAATGCTAATAATTTTTTTGTTGCATGTAGGAAGACTTACATACAACATTAAGCTGGAAGATATGTAGAAAGGAAATGAAGGAAAAATGTCTAGAGACTTTCGCACAATGAAAGTGGCACGACGAATAAAGTCTTTAGGTTCAAGACAACAGATTGGCAAGAACTGGCGCAAAATATAGCTTACACCTTAGAATAATAACGCATAGAATGATAGTTTCATATCAAACGAACTGTCACAAGTGAGGCAAAAATCAAATTCATGTAGGCTAGTTTTAGTAGTAGGTTAATTTTCGGTTTTAGTGAATATTTATATAAAAATACAAGTTGGAACTCGTTACTTCCTTGTGGAATGTGATGTTAGTATTTATTTTATGTTTGTCTGACGTATTTTTACACTCATTCATCGCACATTTCGTCATTTTTAGCTAAAATTCTTGAGCTGTTCGCGGTGCAAGTTGACCTTGAGCACTGACGGCCGGCCCGCTCATGTAGGCCCATTGGGAGCGCTTCAATATGCCTCACTTAGCGTGTGCGGACTAGGTTTCTATGCGTTATTATTCTAAGGCTTACACATCTTTTAATGATGCAGATTATTGGATCTAATAAGAAAATAACGAAACTGTTACCCGTCTCTTGCTATAAATATTCGAAGCATCGTCGATTGCTCCGTCCCATGCGTCCTGTCCGCCGTGGACCTTATTTGGGGTTAGTTGCCAGTACTTTGTGGGCTTTCCAAATGCAAAATCGTCTACCGAAACCGTGTATGATGATGAAAAGTCCCTAATAACTCCCGATGAATAGGCAATGCCCATGTGTCCCAGGAGTGGACAGAACCATCTAAAAAAAAACGTGAAATTTACAAATTATGTGACATTGCTGTTAAGTTTTTCTGTTGTGCTTCAACCCTTGTTATGTCTGATTTAGGAATTTAACGTAAGTACATACTTAATGTGAAGACTATTAATCTTATTGATTTTATCGTTGCGGTGTAATTTGTGGCAAACTATGATTCATATATCTGCATTTCAATGTTTATTTGTGTGTTCAGTAATACATTGTGGCAATGATTCTTCTTCTTCTTTAGTCTATTGGCGGTGCCCTTTTTAAAATTTCACCGGAGTCAAATTTTCAGCTTAGTGATTTAAGGCTTTTGCAGTCAGCAATGCAATGAGTATTGTGTGCAAGGCTTAAATTTTTAGTTTAGTAATGTAAGGGCTTTTGCGATCTCAGCTATTCGATAAGTATACGTGTGAGAGACTGAGGGTCGTATTCTAGAACTCTACCCAATGCTCAAGTCAGGACTTGAGTATGATTCAAAGCACTCGAAATCATACTCAAGTCCCTGCCATTAGGGTCGTATTTCCAGTGCTTGTGTTTCAATTAGAATCCTGACTTGAGCATTGAATAGAGTTCTAGAATACGACCCTCAAAGTTTCAGCTTAGTAATTAGGGTCTTGTAATCCCGGCTATTCAATGAGTATTTACGTGCGGGATTAAAATTTTCAGCTTGTAACAAGAGCGGTTACACACGACTACTTTTAGCAGCGATATAAACGCGATACAAACGCGATATAAACGCGATACAAACGCGATATAAACGCAATACAAACGCGATATAAACGCGATACAAACGCGATGCACATTTTAAATTAATTAACTAATTTATTTATTTAGTGTATTTATTAATTTCACTTTTACATGTACAATTATTAAAACAAAATAATGTGCATAAATCTCTACAGATTTTTCGCAAATAATTATTCAACATAAGTTTATAGGCCCAGTGGAAATACAATGCTAGTGGACTGTATTAAGTTATAGTAAAATTATTCGAGAAAAAGAAATTACAAATTTTAGCGAAGTGTGCGACGGCGACGACCGTTTCGTGAAGAGATATTTAGATTTTTGTTTTTTAATTTTACGGCTGCGGCCCGCTCGGGGCGCGGGCAGTGTTGCCATATCTATCCAAGACAATAAGCGACTGTATCAATGCAGTCGCGCGTTTGCATCGATGTAATCGCGCGTTGGTATCGATGCAAACGCGCAACTGCATCGATGCAAACACCTATGAATTGGAAGTGTAGCGATGCAAACGCGCGTTGCACGAACGTATTTGCGTCGCTGCTAACAGTCGCCGTATTTAAAGCACTCTTAGGGCTTAGTAATTCCGGCTATTCAATGAGCATTTACGTGAGGGACTAAAATTTTCAGCTTAGTAATCTATGGGCTTTTGCTGTCTTAGCTATTCAATTAGTTTAATGTGAGCGAATATGAACTGTCCTATTAAATTTAGAATTGTGATTACATTTCTGATGCGGTAGAAACTCACGTCAAGAGTGGGATCGGAGTCCATACAATGCAATGTGGATAACGAATATGTTTGTGGTCAATGTTCATCATGACCAGGATTTCGCTTTGTTGATAAGGTACACAGGACAATCCAACTACGGCTGTGTTATCTTCATCGATAGAATCGACAATTCCGATAACAAAATGAAATCAATTTCTAGGAATATATCTAAATATTTTCAAGTTGATTCATCATATGTCATTGACAATTTTTTTTTGGTTCTATTTTTTCCATTGGAAAAGGCGAAGGCACTAATGCGCCATACAGCCAAAACTGAGAATAATTTCTTTCTTGTATTCCATTACAAAAATTAAACGTGTTCGATAGTGCTTCTTACGAAATAATATAATTGGATAATATAATGGAATAAGAGGCATTGCCGAGTAGCATGAGATTTTAAGACCTAAGTATGTAATTATTGCATACAATACTTTTTCTTCGAGTACCCAAATAAAATTATGAAACGGAAGCAATATTTAATGTATATTGTATTAACAATCCATGACAACCTTTTAACAACAGAAGCAATTTTTTTAAATAAATTTTCACCCATTTATTAGCGAAGGCAAAGGTTCCATCATACAGCCTCTTAATAAATTTAGACGAATGTCAAACAAACTCTACAAACAAAAGCCAAAGAGATAGAATAGAAGTGGCCAAGTACCGCATGTAATCAAATGTCTATGGCATTTATGTTATAACGTTTTAACTTTTTTTTTCATCCTTTATGCGTTTTAACTTCATTATCATATTTTTTTTATAAAGATTTATGCACCGCTCGTAAGACTTTTAGGCCTAACTTAACCAATCAGGAGGCAGCATTGACTTACAATTATATGGACGTCGGGCCCGCGCTAAAAAGTGTCCGAACTTATAGGGCGTTAAAATCGTATACAGAGCGTCATTCACGCTTTAGTCTTCGTTTGTTCGACTGACAGCGAAGTAAGCAAAATTAGACAGTACTGCAATGACATTACAATTTAAATTCAACGTTTTAGCTTTTTCATATTCCTTTATATGTCACTACGTTTAAATAGGTTGACTTGGGACATTTTTTTCGTGGTTTTTGTATTAGACCCGTCGTCCATTTATTTGTAAGTCAATGGGAGGCAGTATAGAATTTGAGAGCGTCCTAATTGATATTATAATTAGAAAATTATACGACGTTCTTTTTTTGGAACTCATTATAGTTCTGTGTATACCTTTTATGAAATTTTTATGGTTATGAAGATATGGTTTATGAAGTTATAATTAACAGATTAAAGTACAGTAGTAGAAAAAGTATATTATACACTTCACGTCTTTTTCCCATCGGAGTAGGCAGAGACCATAGCCTTCCATTTCCTATGCATATTATAAAGGTATTAATAATTGCTTTGTTGAGGTGAGAAAGCTTAGAAGTCCATCAAAGAATATCAGTTACTGACACTTATTACGTTTTCAATGTACCATTTGTACAGAACAGTTTCGAAATTCAAGGTATTAACCAAGTTTCAATTCAAGATTTAGTTTCATTTCCAACACTAACTTGGACTTATTTGAAATACTATCGATGGCATCTGGTGCAGCAAGTTTCGAGTCACGGTACATTATGGTTCCAACAGCGCGTGCAAGTTAGCACAGTTGAAATAACTTGACGAATGTCGGAAGTGCAGCTGGCAAGGAAACTTTATTACACTTACAGCCTACCATTTTGAGACATGTAAAGTTTATTTGGTGCTCGGTTTTCGTGAAGAAAATCTCTGATCCGTTACAGTTTTGAAAAGTAAGGTTGCTGGTGAAATTACAGACACATGAGGCTTTTCAACTTATGTCTCAGAGAGATGGGCACAGTGTCAATTAGATCTTTGCGATTTAAAGCTCCGAGTGACACAGCACTTGTTCTGGACAGGAATGTTGCTTGCCACCAGGTGCACGACTTGTTCATTCTGTCGTTTGGTATAATAAAAAAAAAACAAAAATCGCGCATCATGGAAGCATGGCATAGGTAAGTGGAATTACGTCAAACATGTTTATTGCTCCATTAAGTACAGAAAAATATAACCCACATCCTCTCCAATTGGAGATTATTACAATATCTAGCATAGTTAGAATATTTTTCTGTATCTAATGGAGCAATAAAAGAAATGCGTTTTAATATGAACAAACTTTGTCTTTTTTTATGAATTTTTTCATTGACTTACAAATAAATGGACGACGGGTCTAATACAAAAACCACGAAAAAAATGTCCCAAGTCAACCTATTTAAACGTGACATGTAAAGGAATACGAAAAAGCTAAAACGTTGAATTTAAATTGTAATATCATCGCAGTACTGTCTAATTTTGCTTGCTTCGCTGTCAGTCGAACAAACGAAGACTAAAGCGTGAATGACGCTCTGTACACGAATTTAACGCCCTATAAGTTCGGACGCTTTTTAGCGCGGACCCGACGTCCATATAATTGTAAGTCAATGAATTTTTTTTATTTAATTTTAGTTAGAGTAGAAAAAATACATATAATAACGTCAAATTATATAGAACTGTTGGTAGATATCTAATTGTATATTACGTAAGAGCAACAATTATGATACAATTCCTATTTACTTTGCTCTTTTCAGGGTCCATAATTTGATCTCAATATTAATATAGTGTTTATTATGGAACGCCAATAAATAAAAACAAAAAAAAAATCACAAACACATTAAGTCTCGTTTCTTACGTTAGTAGTTAGTAATAAAATAAAAAATAATCATAATAAGACATAAATGTAAACTACTCGTCGTTAAATAAAGAAACAATTAAGAGATACAAGTATGTTTGTCATCAAGTGACGGGATGAACAAGTTGTGCGCCAGATGGTAAGTGAAACGTCTATCCTAAACAGTCAGCCTCAGACCTTAAGGCGAGGCATTTGAATGTGAGAAGATTTTAGGTGGTGAGAAATTAGTATGAACAAAATAAGAATAGGCGGAGAAACTTTATCACAGATCCGACGTTGACAATCTCGCCCAATGGCGACTGATGACGTAGCGGACGTGGGGTGATGTTAAACCGCAGGGCAATTTTCAAATTTTGGGATAAACGTGAAATTCATAACTATAAAGCTTCAGTTGACAACCAAAATTTAACAGCTTCTCTGTAGTACTTAAATAGAAATACCTCCATATAAAAATTATGCGCAAAGATAGATATTGTATTTTTAAATAATTCATTTTACACTTTTATTTTCGCCTGTTTTCGGGATTTTATATGATCGGGTAGAGTACATATTATCGTGTAACGCATTAGCACATTCTTTAGACAACATCCTTGGGTGTACCGTATATTTTTTATTATTAAACATTTTAAAAATTTGATCTAGCAAAACAGTTTTTTCCCACTTCTCCTCTGGAGACTCGCCTTAAATCGCAAAGATGTGAGGGGTACACAGCACCCGTCACCTTGAGACATAACATTGACAAGTCCCACTGTACGTTCACCCGCACCCTTAACGACCAGTTACACATTGACTTACAAATAAATGGACGGGTCTAATACAAAAACCACGAAAAAAATGTCCCAAGTCAACCTATTCGAAATTTAAATTGTAATGTCATCGCAGTATCGCGCTGTCAGTAGAACAAATGAAGACTAAAGCGGAGTGTCGCGCTCTGTATACGATTTTAGCGCCTTACAAGTGCGGACACTTTTTAGCGCGGACCCGACGTCCATATAATTGTAAGTCAATGCAGTTACACGAGGCGAAAGTTTTCGCGCGGCCGTCCAGTTACCACGCCTTCACGTACTTTAATGGCGAATATGAATTCTATTTACTAGGCAACAACAATTAAATTCCTTTGAATAATACATTCGCGCGGCCGCCGCGCGTGGCGCTGCGTAGATCAAATTCACCCAGACTCGCCCGCGTGCCCGGGACGCTCATTTAAGTTAAAACGTAAAAGCTAAACAAATAGAGCGTATTTTGCCGTAACAGTTAGACTCCGTCGAAACACAAAACTGCGAATAGGCACGATGCGCATTCGCAACGCAGAAAACTGCAACGCGAATAGATGCGATGCAATTTCGTGCAGCAAGGCATCTCAGTGCCACGGTTCGGGTGACCCATTCCTTCGACGATCTATTTTTTAAACTAGGTAGCGACATGGATCGTAAAAACAGTGTTGCGCTGCTGTTATTGATTAGAAAATATAGGAAAAACACACAAAGAAGATTAACATCACAGGAAAGCGCGATGCGGAGCAATTCGCAGATTCTTGCGATGCGTCGTGCAAGCTCGTAGATTTCTGCGATGCAACGTCGCATCGCAGTTTCGCATTTCGACCCTTAAAACCGGAATACAGTAATGCGTGCATTACTGCTTGGGGTCATAAATAGTTATGGTGTCATTACGTCTCTGGACGAACTAAAAACATTTCTAATAAGTGTCGTAAATAAAATAGATTAGTTTCCAGTTAATCGATATCAACAGCATGTGTGACTTCGTTCAACTCAAATATCACGTTGATGAATGATGGGGAGAAATTGCGAGTGCACTTGGCAACAGAACTTTATTAAGTGGATTGCAGTTTTCCATTTGAAAGGGTGCAAACAAATGTATTTCATAATTTCAATATTACCGAAAGATTTGACGTCTTTAGAAAGTAAACAGTTACAGAAAGTGGAAAAATTATATAAGGTACGTAGTTCTACAGCAGTAATGTAAGTATTATTGCATTCCAGTTTGGAAGGGTATAAGGGTGCTGGTGAAATTACATGTATGGGAATTGTCGTCTTTTGTTTTTGTCGGGCGCAATGGTAGTGCCCGTAAGATCTTTGCGATTTAAAGCTCTGAGTGGCACTGCAACTGTTAATTGATTTTCATTGAAAAAAAAAACAGACTTTAAAAGTTGGCTTATCGGCTTTTTTCGATTTCCATGGGATCCCGATTTCCATGGGATTCTGACTTCTTGGTGACAATGGGACTGTTACGGACTCCTTTGTACATTTTATACTTTTTTTTTGGTTGTCGTTGTGACTGACGGTGCTTTGTTGATTACATGTATTGTGTCAAGTGGAAAGTCGACTTTTATTTGTGGATATAATTTTTTAAATTTGTAATAGGCGAAACGAACCCGGACCAGCATTGTCGGCATCAGGGACCACCTCGAAAGTATAAGGGTGAAAGGGTTGTAACCCTAACAAGCCGTGACCAGGTTCACGGCAGTAAAACAGAAAACTTCCGGTCCACAAATTTATTTAAAGTCGGGTTAAGAAGAAACGGTAACAAAGAAGTAAGGAGTAAGGCAGTAACAATAAAAAGGTATATATAGAAAATCAGATACATTAATATAAAACACTTCCTAACTTAATGACGATGAATATAAAGAGACACTTTAACTCTTTATCTAACATAACAAATCTGTTGCCTCTTTTAAATTAGCCTATAAGAAGTTTTTATTATCAACTCAATTATAATCTCATTACATAAGGTAGTCGTGCATTGCTTGCAAAGTTCTTAAAAAGTGATCAGAGCCAATTTGTACAATGTGTTAACACTAATCACCTCACTTACACTACATATACTCACCTCACTTACACTACATATACTCACCTCACTTACACTACGTATACTCACCTCACGTACACTACATTATAATCACATTTTTGGTATTTATTTAATTTTTATTATTATGTATCTATGTTAGGATTAGTTTATGGTTTTGTTTAATATTTTAAGTTTTGATTTATATTTGTAATTAAGTTTTGTACCTGTAATCTTTATATTTCTTTTTTGTTTTATTTTTATCTTACCGCCTGCTTGGACGAGGCGCCATTTTTCTTTTTGTCCATATATGGCGCCACTGAAAACCAGCGTAATAAGGCGTTCTTCAACGTCTCATTACAAAAAGCTGAGTGGTGACCGTTTTGGTAACATATATAATGTATGATTGTGTTTGTTTTGTATTATTTATTGTAATATGTTGCCAAATAAATTATTTTTCTTTCTTTTCTTTCTTTCTTTCTTTCACTTACCCCTAAAAGGGCCGAGTTATACTGAATTACAGATACGTATTCATAGGTACATGATAAGGCGGTAGACTGTTATACACTTATTAGAATTGACACATGAATGAGATTGTATTATAATGATTATAACTTAGTAAAATAATCAAAATTAGACGCGATTAAATTTAAACAGCCCCGTCCGCTGTCGCGATCGAGCAGGGAGTGACAGTGGAACGAAACAAAATCAGAATAAGAGGCAAAAGAATGGAACAATTCAAAATTTAAATTTAAATACGGGTGGCCAGGAACCGGAGAAAGGCGACAAAAAGGTGGAATGAACTACGTTGCAAGGAGGTCACACCGTCACACCCTTTCAAACAAAAAAAGCCCATAACACGTGCCCATAAAACTTGAGAATAATCCTCGATTTCTATGGATTACCTCACCAGATTCTGACCTGGTGACAATGGGACCACCACGAGAGTGTACTCTTTCAAACCAAAAAATAATTTTCGTAATCGGTCCACAATTGCCGGAGAAATCGAAAAACATGCATACAGCCGAACGTATAACCTCCCCCTTTTTCTTGAAGTTGTTTAAGAAAAAGACATGTGTTTGCCGAAAAGCTGATATTCTACAACAGTAAATTTCCTATTAAATTTTCAACAGACTTAAAAGTACCAGCCCGGATTCGAACCCACGGCAGAGGCCAAGCAGAGACGGTAG